GTTGGCTGCAAGAGCATGTTCAACTATGTTTACAATACGTTTTTGCACCTTATCTAAAAGAGAAAGGTCATCATTCGAAGATAGGCCCCAGGTATGGTAACAGTATCCCATACAAGGATGGATTTGAGATTTATACAGATAAAGAATAGAATACTGAGTAAGAAAGTGGCGAGCATGTTAAAGAGATTTAGCAGATGCTAATTTTGCAACTTTAGCAGATGCTAATTTTGCAATGGATTTGATATATGGTTTTGAAGAAAGATTTGAAGTAAGAGTTAATCTTAGAAGATAAAGGGTAGATGACTCATCAAGTAAATTACCGTTTATAAATATAGGAAAATCTAGATTATTGCACTAAGAATTAGCTGAAAAAAATTTTAATTTTAAGAGTTTTATCCGAGTTCACCAGTCACTGAGAGCCCCATGCTGTAGTAGAAGTGAGATCCTTTTCAAGCTCAAATGCCCCCTCCCCTCCTAGCAATCAGAGAGTCTTGACTTCTTATTAAGACAAGAGTAATTGGTAGTTAAATTTTTAAATAAATTTAAAAAAATTCTTTAGCGGTTAGTTAAGTACTTTTTTATACAAATAATATACAAATTTTGTTTACATATTATTTTTTAAAAGATAACATATTAATAATATTTTATATTATATTAATAATATATTGCCAATATTTTGCTAATAATAAAAATTGGAAATTAAAAGAAAAAAATATTAAAAATAGATAGAGAGTATAGAAATAATTATATATATATATATATATATATATATATATATATATATGTATATGTATATATATATATATATATCTTTAGTGTTGACATCGTGTATAAGAGTATATGTTATATTAGACAAAAAACATCAATTAATATGAATTCTCTTAATACAGTTAATTATTTATTATTAAAAATTTTCGCTGGATTATGGTTACCAGTATCATCTGCTCGTAAAAATTATACAATAAAATTTTTTTGTAACGTTAGAAACAGTTTAAAATTAACTGACGTCAGCAGTTGAATGGCTTCTTTCTTGCTTATGTAAAAAAGTAAAAAACGTCCAAAATTTAGTTTTCACAAACTGCCTGTTATCTAAATAATATATCTCCATAATCCAGTGAAAATTTCTAATAATAAATTATTAATTGTATTAAGAGAATTCACATTAAATAATATTTTCATACTAATATAACATATACTCTTATACACGATGTCAACACTAAAGATATATATTGCAGCTAAATACGGAGCTGATGTTAACAAACAAACTGAACAGTTACAGTTATTGAAGAAGTCGGTAACTCGGTAAAATCTAAAAACCAGTATATATTTTTACAAAAATGTGAAAAACACAAACTTATTCCAAAATCATTACAAATTAACAGTCCTGTAAATACAAAGAGAGCAGTAAGTATTGTTATTTGATATAGATTTGAAACTTTGATTTGTATTAAAAATGATGCTAAAAAACGGTTTTTTATGCTTGTTAATGAAACTAAAAATCTCCAGAAAGATCTCCAGAAAGTTATTCTTGATGAAATATACTGCAAAAAAGTTTAACAAGTTACTAAAAAAGCTTGCATAATAATGTTTCTGAAATCGAAAGAGAGATTATTTAAAAAGATTAAAATTCTACAAAACGAATTTAAAAATAATCACAGTAATAAAATCTGTAAGTTAACAACCCATACAAAGAATGCTTTTTTAAACTTATGCGATGATGATATTCCGAAAAACCAAAACAATCTTTTTAATCTTGGTCCACATTTTGTACCTTCGTTGAAATATATACCTTATATGGATATTATTGCAACAACAGAGACCTCAGCTTTGAAATTGGAATATAGCAACAAGATTGAGGGTGCGCAGGATTTGAGAAAAAATGTTTTAAAAGAACTTAAAATGGATAAAAAAATAAATTAAAATTTAACAAGAAAACAAAGAAAAGCTCTTATGGAAATTAAGAAAAACAAAATTATTGATATATATTCGTTTGATAAGGGTAATGGTTTTGTAAGAATAGAACACGATAAAGCTTTGGAAAAAATTCACGAACAAATTGGCCCAACAAGAATTTTAAATGAATATCCCACATCAAGTTATGCTATTAAAATTAAGACTCTCACAACTTAATAAAAAACAGCGATTTTCAAAAACAGAATATGATAGTATATATCCAAGTGATCCCATCCCGCTTCGTATGTATGGTCTAATTAAAGCTCATAAACCTGAAAAATCCTATCCTATGAGAATAGTTGTATCAACTATCGGCACTCCTAATTATGGAATATCGAACTATTTAGTAAAGAAAATACAACCTGTCTTAAAAAAAAACCAAACACGTCTGAAAAATTCTTTTGATTTTTTTAGTAAAGCAATTTCACGGGATTCAAAAACAAGGTTCAAGTTTCATTTGATGTAATAAACTTGTATCCATCAATACCACTAAAGGAAGCCACTTTAGTTCTTATAGATTAAGATATTTTGACAACACTCAAGCTAGATTTTCCAACACTCAAGAAGCAGAACAATTCCTAGCTATCTTAAACAAACAACACCCTGCAATACAATATACGATCAAAACTGAAAGCGAAAATAGAACTCTAAAACTTTCTCAATTTAACCATAATAAATAACAACGAAGGAAAATATGAGTTTAAAGTTTACAGAAAAGAAGTCATTACTAATATCCAAATTAAACATCACTCAAATCATGACCCTAAGATTCTAAACGCAATATTTAAAGGTTATGTTCACAGGGCTTATTCTTTATGCAGTAATTTATATTTACAAGATGAGTTTAATTTCCTTATTCAAATGTTTAACAAAAATGGGTACAACATATGTCAACTTAAACAGATTGCAAAATTAATTGGAAATAAATAGTCTCTAAAAATCATTAAAATTCAATCAGACTCTCTTAACATCCCTACTGTATCGTTGCCGTGGATACCATCACTATCCCCAAAACTAAGTAAAATATTTCTGAATACTGGCTATAGAGTAGTCTTCAAATCAAATCCAGATTTAAACACATTACTAACGTCAAAAAACAAAACTAAATTACCACAAAATAGTCAACCCAGAACTTATTTGATTGAATGCAAATGCTAAAAGAGATACTTAGGCAAAACTAAAGTTCAAATTAGGACTCGAACTCAACAACATCTAAAAAGTTTAAATGAGTGGAAACATTATCAATCTGCAATAGCCACCTTTAATAAGTTTTGCTCACAAGAAATAAAGTGGGAAAACGTAAAAACAATTAACGTTGAAACAAAAAAATTTGATCGAAAAGTGTGCGAAGCTCTAAAAATACAGAGGTTCCAATGTTCACCTTTACATGGCGGAATAAATTTAGATAACAGGCAGTTTGTGAAAACTAAATTTTGGACGTTTTTTACATTTTTATGTAAGCAAGAAAGAAGCCATTCAACTGCTGACGTCAGTTAATTTTAGACTTTCTAATGTTACTAAAAAATTTTATTGTATAATTTTTACGAGCTGATGATACTTATAACCATAATCCAGCGAAAATTTCAAATAATAAATTATTAACTGTATTAAGAGAATTCGTATTAATTGATGTTTTCTTACTAATATAACATATACTCTTATACACGATGTCAACACTAATGATATATATATATATATATATATATATATATATATATATATATATATATATATATATATATATATATATAAAATTTATATAAAATTTTTTATTAATCTTCGTTTTTTCTTCTTTTTCTGAAAAATTTAATTACAAAAATTATATTAGGTGTCCTTAGATTCATATTAAGATATATAAGACTAGTAATTATAGCCAGAATATTAGGTAAATGACTAGGAAATAAAAAAATTTGCATTGGCTGAAAAATAGAGGAAAAATCTATTTCAAGGTTTTTTTAATAATGCATAAATCTATTATCCAGGAAGCACCCAGCATCGAGCGTTATCTTAGTATCATCCAAAACTTTGGAATATACTTCACAACAAAAAAAAAAAACAGCTATTTATAAGGAAAAGCTGAAATAGTATTTAATGGTTAATGGTGAACTATTTCATCAGAAAACCCAAGAAAATTAAAACTTAATTATATAATAGTTTGTTGCACAGCTGAGCAAGTCTTTTTATCCATTATTCTGGTATAATACTTTCTGTGACGACTTGGTCTGGCTCTGTAAAAGAAATGACTATTTTAATATTAATGGTTTTTCAGTAAAAGAAATTTAGTGATTTTCAATTTTTTAAATATAAACGTTTTTGATTTTTAATTTTGAATTTGTACTGTTTAGAAAAGTTTTTAAATATTTTTGCATCCATCAAAAGTTCCTTTAAAGCATCTTTTTGGGTCTCAGTATAGATAAATACAGATTTGCATTATGTAGTAGACAGTAGATGTTGTAGATAATTCCATTTAATACAGTATTTCCAAAATTTGACTTTCAGTTAAGTGAAGAAATGCTTAATATAGTTGCTATTGAATTGGCGTTGGAGTAGAAGCTTAAATTGTTTACTGTTTCTGAAAAGATATTAATAACCTCTTCAAAAATAGGAGCGACAGGAAATTTGTCATGTTTGCTAACATCTAGTACAAATTTCACAAATCAGTACTGTTAGAATTGTCACTTTTACTTGACTGATTCTTGCGTTTCTTTTTTTTTTCCAGAGTTTTTCAGAAATTCTGCTTATTCTTTTGCCAACTTTTCATGGAATTTTTTTTTGAATTTGTTTAAAATTTAGTTTAAATTTAAATAATAGTTTTAAAAGTAATCTTTTTTTTTTCCAATAATTAATTTTTTTGACTCAAATTAAAATTTTTGCCACTAATATTTTCAAATTTTGTTATGATTATAAAATTTTGATTACATGACATCATCAGTTAGGTGATTTTCTTTTTTATTGTCATGTATTTAATGCACATATTTTATTTGCACATATTTTGATTTTTTATATTATTTTAAAGTGTCATCATGTTTAAAAATTAAATTGTTTAG